ACTGAAAATTTGGAACAGATCATATTTCTCAAAAGTAGGGGTCATCAATTTTAGGCAAAATGAAGACTAAGAGATCTTTTAAAGAGTGTGTTACTATTTCACTAGTAGTTTAACATTTCTATTTGTTGTAAATTTACTGTAATAATCAATCTACCTTTCCCGTTTCCCTTCAGGATTCCAAGTTAAAGCTTGGCTCGTGACGCAGTTTGATGATTTCCTCAATAAATGTCCTATACACCTCCAGCGTGTTCCCTCACTTCTTCGTCAGTTGAAATTTGGTTTGTTCTCTCCCACAGTAAACTGTTGATGATGATCTCCGGTCAACGGGCATTGAGTATCTTTCATTGACAACTGTTTATAAGTACTTGAACCTCATTGATGATGATTGTGGTAGTTCTCCTAGTTTCGGCTCCGTATAGTAATGGCCACAGCTGTGGCTGTGGCGACAAAGCAATTGTCATGACCTTTATCTCACAATTTCCGTTCAACCACAGCCAATGTCTTAACAGGTGATTCGACACTCAATGGTTTTAAAGGAGGCAATACAAACCCCAAATGTTTTCCGGTATATATACCCCTTTACTAGTGTCAGTTACCACAAATCTGAAGTTCAACGTAAATCTTAGACATTTGATATAGATTTATTCTTTATTTAAAACGAAAAACGGTAACTCCAGATTTTTACTACTGTGACTTCTTGAGTACTTTAGCCTAACATTTATTATTCTCAGTGAACTTTTTTAAGTTAGTGTATCTAACTTAACTTAAATATTGATTTTAAAAATTAAACAACTAAGTTAGAAAAATAATTGAACATATTGTAGGCGTGTGAAAATATCTCCTAATTAGCGAACATAGAATTCTTATAAATTACTGAATTTGTTACTGGAATTGACACTACTTTAACTGAAGGACGTATATAAACCATTTCAATGGTAAAGAATTATCCTCCTAATTACAAAATTATACTCTCATATATATCATTGTTTCTTTCTGATGGATTATTTTACTTCTTCATACTTTCTACTATTCTTATCACCAGAAGTATTTCAAATATTCATATTCTTTATATGAGTCAATTGTGACTGTTTTATGGAATGAATTTACACAATATATATTTGAAACTTTGTTTACTTATTTGCATTGATAATATGCAGATTATTTAGTACTTGCATTATGTCTACAACCTGAAAACTTTTGATACAACCTTTCCAGTTTGCTGCCACTACCTCGAAGACTTCTAAAGATTTGTATAAATTCATTCGATGCTCTATTTGGTCTCATTGAAAAAGATAGGGCAAACAAGTGAATAACCTACTCAGACAAGCAAAGCAAAGTTTGAGTTAAGATTGTTGACATCACAGTGATAGTACAATAAGGACATTATCAACTGGAGTTAATTACCTTACTGTCATTGTTCTAAAGCAGAGAGTCCGGCAGCTTTGGTTGACGGTTTTATGTTCGTGAGTGTTTAAATCTACTTAACTCTATTGAAGATGCCATAACTACTGTATTTTGACAACACTATACCAGTAACATCTTCTATAATTGAATCGTGCCCACCCAGTAAAATCAAAAGTCAGAAGCAAGAAGGTTCGAAGATATATTTGATGGGTTATCAATATATTGAGGATTGACTGATTTAATCTGGCCAGCGATCGCAGGAGATCTTGCGCACGCCGTTCCTAAACGTGGTCTGGTGCGGACGCATGACCGAACGCCTTCAGCTAAATGAGTCTATTAAAAGTAATGTAGTCAGCATCCAATGTCGAAAACTTACAGAGTTATTGATTTTGTTGATTTATATACCTCTACAGATCACTCCCTTCCAAGTGAGGCAGTGATGACCCTACGACGTGGCCAGTCAGAAGTTTAAACCCAACGAGGTTGTCGTCGGTAAACACTCTTCCGATAGCTCGCTGTTTGGCAGCCTCTGGTCGTCTTTCCTTACTATAAAGGGCCATGAGATACAATATAGTAATCAAAAAAAATAAAATCGAAACCTCGGTTCTTCATAAACACCATCGTTCTTTCACAGCCGTCCTGGGGAAGAAAAAAAGTATATGTAAGTGCATGTCAAAATACACTCGTGCGCGTAAAAACACAAAGCGAGCAAAAAAACGTTAATAAACTAACACGCTTGCGACAGCGTAAAAGCGTTTCGAAAAATTGTTAATTTTTTGTTTTTAAAAAAAATTCAAATTTACGCTTTTAAGTAAAAAAATTTGTTGTTTTGGAATAAACATATAAGTACAAGCATATTAAATTGTTTTATCATATATAATTCAAAGGCAAATCGAGATAAAGCAAAATGTTAGTTGGTGTCTTACGTGCAATAGTCGTTTAAATGTTCTAGAAATCTTACTTTTCTTCCAGGACGCGTTGTTTTTACTGTATTTTCAGACACTGCTGAAGTATCAACGTGCATGTTGGCTCTCGGATGAGGTACCACAAGTGTAAGATTGTACCGAAGGAAAATCGAAGTGGATAGGATCTCCGTTTAAATACGCTGCTTTGATTCTATCGATAATGATGTTATCGTTAGTGCGGTCCTTATCGAGTAAATAGTACTTGGCTTCACGCTGAAGAACTTTGAATGGTTCTTCGTATGCTGATTCGAGGGGTCATCGATGTTTGTCTCGACGTACGAAGACATGTGTATCATATCGTGAATCACGTCGGACGGAAATATCCGTTGATTGCGGTTGAGTGGAAGCAAGTTTAATTGAACTCATTGTGTTTGTAAGCCTGCTCGTGTAAGAGTTTAGATCCATGTTCATTGAAGAAGACGAATGATCCACAAATTCTCCTGGAAGCCGAAGTGTCGTTCCATAAACTAGTTGAGCTGCAGTGTATCGAATGTTAGCTTTCACTGCATTGAAAATGCCTAGTAAGACGAGTGGAAGAGCGTCCGTACACTGTGAAACGTTTGCAGCTGATAGCGAAGCTTTTAGTTGTCGGTGAAAACGTTCTACAGACCCCTTTGCTTGTAGGTGGTAGGGGGTCGTTTGGAAGCGAGTGATTCTTAAATATGTGGTCAGACAACCGAAAAGTCCAGATGCGAACTGGTGACCGCGGTCTGCAGTGATGGTTAGAGGGCAGCCAAAGTTTGCTAATCATCGTTCGACAAAAGGACGAGCCACTGTTTCAGCAGCAATGTCCTTAATAGGTACTGCTTCTGGCCATCAAGTGAAACGGTCTACGCAGGTTAAGAGATATGAGTATCCATTTGAATCTGGTAAGGGTATTATCAAACCCAGATGAACACGGTCGAAACGAGTATCAGGGGTTTTGAAAGAGCCTAAGGGACATTTGTTGTGTCTAGTGACTTTAGATTTCCGGCAGCTTACACAGGAGGGTGCCCACTCCCTCACGTCTTTATTCATACCAGGCCAACAAAACCGCTTTGCTATAAGCTTGATTGACTCACGTACACCTAGATGAGAAAGTTTGTGCAACCTATTGAAGACGTTGCATCAATAATGTTTCGGCACGATTGGGCGATCCCTACCTGTAACTGTGTCACATTGTAAGGTTTCCTTACGTGTTCACATCTGTTTTATGCGCAATTTAAGGGTTGTTGAGGATAACTCGTGCTGACGATCAGTATCTTCTTTTCGCAACTTAATAAGTTTGAGAAGGTTGATTTCTCAAACTGTTCAAGTAACAATATCCAAGGTTGTCACGTGTTACTTATAAAATTGTTATGGGACTTCTCTGACTATCGAGTCTGATGCATGTGCGGAGATACAAATGAGTGCTTTGATACCCTGGTGTGGGAGCATAGCTACTTTTATTTGTTCTAACGACAAGATACTTGAAGATGAGCATAAGATAACAGAAAGTGCACACTCGTTACTTAACACGATGAAAGGGTCGAACATCGTTAACACGGAAAAAATGGATCGATATGGTATGGGTCGGCCTTGCAGGCGTGGATATTCCGTTTAACTTATCCTTATTTCAATTAAATATACCATCCCATTCCCCACCTAAATGTGTTCTTCAAAGTTACTAAACATCATATCACTGATTGTTACGATAGGACGAGTCAATGTAGACAGTGATGTGACTTCAACGTAAGATCTTATAGATTACGTAGTCATATCATGACAGAGCTACAATTTTGAAATCATGTTTATTATTGTAGAAACTAATAAAAATGTATGAAAACCGAATTAGGCCACAAATTTGTTTACTTTGGCTACAATTTCCCTATGTGTGGAGAATACCTTTTGCACACTACCGTCCAAATTAGTTGTACGTTTCCGTGAAGTTAGTCTATTAAAGGTTTTGTGAGAGATGCGTAATAAGGTATGAACCATCGATGAAAACTTACCAGCCTGTTGAAAGTATGTAATTGCATGACTGTAATCTATTCTGGGTGATCCAGGATGGTCATCTCTTTGCTTTACAGGGAGCCACTACCTCAGGCGTCAGTAGTGTCCGAAAATTTGCAGGGTCCGAAGGGACTAACGATAGCCGTTTGAAGAATGTCGTCAGCAGTCATTGGAATTTGGTTGTAACCTTTGGCCACGTCGATTTCCGAAAGAATAGTAGATCATCTCAAGGTTGTTATCAGGCCGTGGACGTATGAAGAGGAGCAACAATCAAGAGTAACTTTTGTATCCCATCGCCTATAGTCACCAGTTGGACTCCAATCATTGCTATCCATTTGCAGGCCATATGCAAAAGTTATACCCAAGGGTTGTTCTATGGTTGGATAATTTTCATGTCTATAATGTGTTCAAACTCTTTTTTATTCAGTCTAAGCTTTTAGAAGCTAGTCGGGCACTTTCCAAATTACAGATGGGCCTGTAGAAGCTGTGTGGTGTACGACATTGTTGGTTACACATGGTAGTTTCGGTCGTGTTTTGTAAAGTTCAGGGTACTTGCCGAGTATCCATCGAGCTTTCACTTCAGAAGATCAACGAGCTGTCGCAAATATTGACCACAGCTAGTTGAGTGGTAGCTTCTTCATCTGCAGTTTCTTGGACTATGTGAGTATTGAATTCAGAAAGCGGCAGATCTAAGCATTGTCGTAACGGCACAAAATGCTTAGTGTATTTAACGAAAACCAGAAAAAGCTTAATGATTTCACAGAGGATACAAAGGGTATCAGTACTGGGGTAAGTAGGAAGTTTGTGATCGAAGTGAGTTTTGTAGACCACACTTTTTGCATGTGAGTATGATGGAGGCGTCGTTATTGGAGCTGATTCAAGGACATCATCTGGGTATATTTGACAACCTCTAAAATTATATTATAGAACGTATGTTGTAAACCGCGTAACAGACAAGCTAACACAATTGACAAAGTCTATATACTGCTGTCGGTCTGGGTCTGCTGCCGACACGCAAGCAGTAGCGGATATGGTGCGCTACCAGCTAGATTTTCACCGCCTTGAAATGAATCGAGAACCAACTGTTTTGGAAGCAGCTGTTTCTTGCAAACATTTCTGCTACAACTACAGAGATGACTTGGTTGCGGGCATTATAGTTGCTGGATGGGATGAGGAATTAGGTGGCCAGGTATTAGCATTCTTATGTTATCATTGAAAATAGATATACTCGATTCCTCTCGGCGGCATGCTCATAAGACAACCAATCGTTATTGGTGGTTCTGGTAGTACATATACCTATGGTTACGTGGATCACGGTTTTCGCAAGGGGATGACAAGAGAAGAGTGTGTCAGTTTTGTTTTAAAGGGTTAGTTTGTCCGATAGATTTTTTTTTATAACCTCTCATCGCTTTGTAACATCTAATGATGTAAGAGTTTATAGTCCTCCTACATTTTCAGCTGGTTTTTTAAAATGTAACCTTCCCACAGTTTAGTCAATACTCGTTGCGTTGTATAATGGTTGTAACATATCCACGTTATATTCACTGACAGTCCAATAAATGCGGAAATCTTGTCAAATCAAAGATTACTATCACAAATCGTTTTTTATGTGCAAAAGGTGAAAGTAACACAGACCTAAAGTTGTACTTTATAGACTTATTATACGTTTGAATAATGAAATCAACCTTCACAACTATATGGACCTTGGCTACCCCAGTTACATCAATTTTTGAATACAGTCAGTCAGTCAACCACAACGTAGAACCAGGCACATATATACATCGGTCCAAGTTTCCATACCTCATCAGCGCAACAAAAAGAACACCGACTTCATAGTAGTTAATACGGTTACATCGTTAGAAATAACACTAGAGGAATCTCATCTGAAATTGAGGTTAATATATATGGTAATCAAATATCCTGAAGATTTCCGAACGTTGTGTCGTGGATGTGTGTTCAACTAACATAACCATAATTTGAAGAGCTGAATTTCTGGGTTGGTCCTTTTGTATCGGTAATCTGCGGCTCACATCATTACTATCGGATTCCCAATCTCCATTTGTTTAGTACGAACAACACAGGGGCTCTAGTTTTGACCAATTTTGAAGCCTACAAACTGCATTTATAATCTTCACTTAAGAAGAGTGCTTGAGCATATTTGTTTGGACAGTCCTTTAACTTCTAGTTCAGCAAAAAGATAACATTGCTTCACGAATTTTTAAAGTAATCGATCAGATAGAAATCCAAGTAGATCTTGTTTTTTGTAGTCACCAGTGCGAGTAAGACTTCCCAAACGAGTGCTTGAACAGTTCCGTACTATTAGCTGTCAGTTTGTTACAGCTAAACACGTACACAACTTTGAGATTTCATTTTTTTCATATAGAAGTTACAAGTCTTAATCAGGCTAGACGATATACTTCCACTTTATCTTGAGATGCACTTACATCGTACTTGTTTACTACTGTTATCTCACAAAACATATTGTTTTCTTTAGACTAATCTTAAAAAGCTTTTAACCATCCTAACAAGAGAATGTATTTAGCATGACGAGTGATTTTAGAAAGTACCGATTTGATTCACTCTCGGTATGTTTACTTGAAAACATTCGAAATGAGAGTGAAATATAGAAATATCTTAGTTGAATATGATATGGTTTTTATTTATTTATTTATTTGAACATATAAATATTGGTACAAGGAGGCACCAGATACATGTGCACCACACAATAACAATGAGAATGGGAAGAGATAAAGAGTATGGTGGTGAAAAAAATAATAGTAATGGGAGAAACAAAAAGGTACAACCAGAAAGAATTCTTTCAGTCGAAGAAGTTACGGCCAGTTTTTATGGGGAAAGTAAAAGGTTACAGCAGGATCGCCACTGGCTTCTATTCCCAGCCATATCTAATAACGTCTCTAGTCTCTGCACTTCACCATCTTTAGGACCCTAACCAAGGAGTCGTGAAGCCAGTCCTGTGCAGCTTTCTTTCAAACACTGACCACCTCCGCCTTTTCCAACCAGTCCCATCGTCGGCAAATAATGCACTACGAGGAATTCTCTGAGACGACATTCGTAGAACATGTCCAAGCCACCGAAGTCGGTGTGTGATCAATTGTGATGATCGAACACAGAGAGTCGTCTAACATCCTCACTGCCTTCTCGTGGCGGGGGTGTTGTGTACGAAAGTGAGAGGACGAAAAGCGAATGTCCGGCGATTAACCGGGTTGGTGGACATGGAGGGTCCACCTAAGGGAGTTGGAAAACCCTGATTCCAAACCAGTGGTGCACATGGGCTCCAGTATCCTGAGGGAACAAATGGCGTACGAATCAACCGTTGATCACCGGCTACCATGGGACTGCATCTCCTCACGATGCTCCACTGCCTTGTGGATCAGATATTCAGGTCAAAGGCTCGGGGTGTGGCCCCCTAAGAAAACCACCTGCTTCAGTCTGGGTACCTGGGCAGTATCACAGCCCTCACACAAATCGAATGAGATTTGTGAGGCGCATATTTATCTAGTGCTTCCTTGTACCAATATTTATGTGTTTAAATAAATAAATAAAATAAACATCCTCAACTCAGAGTGACCAGGTTTCACAAGCATACAGAAGAACTGCTCTCATTAACGCGTTGTAGATTCGACCTTTTAAAGCTAGATTAACATCACGAAGGCGCCAAAGGTAGCGTAGATTGTAATAAGCCGTTCTAGCTTTCATTATACGTGCATCGATCTCATCACCCAGTGATTTGTAGCGTTTCAAGAGTTGAAGTTCTTTGTGGACTTCCGCCTCGTTAGGTGGATCATTTGTCACCGGTCGTGGAGGACAGGACAATCTGACCGATGTTGCCGGAGCAGCAGACCAGTTGAACTGTTCCTCGAAAAACTCGGTCAATCGTCTAAGACGTCGATGGATGTTATTGATTGGCATCCCGTCATCTTCACAGATTGTTTCACTCACACCAAACTTCTTGCTGTCTGTGACTCAGATGAGTTGGAAGAGCTTTCGACCGTTACCAGATGTAGCTGCTGCTTCCAGACTTCTCAGTCTTTATGCAAGCTTTGCCCAATTTCATTGCGTAACAGCCTTCGTTTGTGGTCATACGGTCACCCGGAATAGACCGACGAGCTTCGATGAGTTGTAAGGAGCCAGAAGAAACCCAGTGCTTATAAGCGGAACGTTTCGCGAGGGCGCGAGCAACTTTACTCTCCGTTTTCATGGCGTCATGCAGCTGCAACCAATGTTCATCTATACTTTTCGGTGGGATGGTAGCTAACCTAGAAGCTAGTTCGGTTCGTTACTTACTTGCAACAGAAGCTGCAATCAATTTAGTGACATCGATCCGTTGATGACGGTCAATTCGTTGGCCACTGAAAAGTAAGGTGGGATTGGCGCAGACCAGGGCATGATCAGAGTCCAGATAGGTACTCCAAAAGGATCGACAGTCTTGTACACAACCACGCCAGCGGTAGCTGATCGCGATGTGATCAATATGAGTCCAGGCTTGAGATGTAAAGGAAGGACGCCAGGTGGCACATCGGTAATGACTGTGCCGGTAGTAAGTGCTAGCCAGAAATAGACTGTGGTGTGCGTACAATTTCAGTAGATAGTCACCGTTATCTGTCCTGCCACCAACAAGTCCCCATCGGCCACCTAAACGACTCTCTTCCTTGCGTAGACGCCAGACTTGAGCATTCAGGTCTCCGGCTAGTACAATATCTATCGGACGCACTCTCTGAAGGACAGTTAACTGGTGGTAAAATTAATCCTTGATCGCATCCAGGCTGCAATCTGTTGGAGCTTAAGGGAGATGACGAATAGATATCCTTTTCTCACGCGGATTTTTTACATTGATGGAACTTTCCAATCTAACAGCCCATAACCGACTGTTAATAGGGATCCAAACGATTAGTGCTGCCTCAGCTCTAGCCCTTAGTGCAACACCAACGCCAGCTAAACCAGGCGAAGATGCCACAGGGTTCCGGGATAAACGCACGTTAAACAAGCCTTTTGAAGCGGCAGATGGAGAGTGAATTTGTAGTACTTCACTATAGTCTTGAACACGGGTCTCGGATAGACAACAGACGTCAATATCAAGACTTTCTAAGGACATAACCAGCCCTATCTGTTGTGCGATCTGCATTAGTGTACGAACGTTGAAGGAAGCATGTTTGAATGGTGTACTTGGTTTCGGAAAGACTGGTTCAGAATTCGTATTCAGTGGAAGCATTCACTTTCGACCCGACAACAGCTCCAGGTTGTCTAAATAGAACAGAGTTTCCACCATGGGCGAGCTACTGTATAAGTTGAAAAATTGGAGTACATGAAGTGGGAATAGAGGAAGTGACGTAGTATATAAAAAAAATAATAATAATGAGTGTTATCAAGTGAATGTGAATTGTCTGAATTGTAATTGAAGCGAGCATAGTATGTCGTGAAGTAATTATCATCTCATTAGATTTGTGTGAGGGCTGTGATACTGCCCCGGGTGCCCAGACCGAAGCAGGTGGTTTTCTTAGGAAGCCACACCGAAAGGCTTTGACCCAGGATCTAATTCACAAATCAGTGAAGCAAGGTAAGGAGATGCAGTCCCACGGTAGCCGGTTACCAACGATTGGTTTATACGCCACTTGTCACTTCAGGATCCTGGAGCCCATGTGCACTATTGGTTTGGGATCAGAGTTTTTCAACTCCACAATGTGGACTCTCCGTATCCATCAACCCGTTTAAAGCGTCGGACATTCGCCTTTCGTCTTCTCAATTTGGTAAAAAATACCCCTGCCACGAGAAGACAGTGAGTAGAACTTCCCTGGCTGAGGCTGTATATGCGTGGCCATGTGAGAGCATTTCGAGAGGGAGAGCGGACTCTCCCCACTCTCAATCATACCTGGGCGTTTGGAGGCTGTTATGGTTTAAAAACACAATAAATAATAAGAATTGCAAAACAGTAATCACTGTTACTTTTGGTCTGTCAGCCTCATAGTTTAAAATTCCATAAACTTCCGAACTATTTAGTGTATGAAAATGTTAGCGTAATTAATTTATGATTGTTAACGTGATGTGAATAATTTGTGACTTGCAAGTTTATGCGCTCAGCTTTAAACTACATTATTTGAGAGCTAGTGATACTGCCCAGCTGCCCTAAATTGAAACAGGTAGAACGGGCTTTGAATCATAGGACTAGTAATTGAAAGTTGAGTCAGTCAGAAGTAAAGTGAGTACTTCATACCAATGGACATCGACTCAAGTTGCCACACAACAACATAGCGAAATAAATTGTCAAGGTGGATATGGAAGTAGTAGTATCTGTAAAAGTAAAGAAGACTAAACAGAAAATATGATTCGCAATTAAGGTTGAGTGAGTTAACCATTTATCCCCATCGCTTCAATACTTCGAACGTCTAAAATATGGAAGCCTGAGGGAGACACGATTTTCATTTTCATCTAAATCTTATACTTTCGGACATCAATGTTATTTGGATTTGAACAGCAGATGGTTTCCATTATCTTTCCAACTTACAACTCGTATATTGAAATGCACATAATTACCATGTTCTAATAACTTTCTCAATATCAATGATTCTTTTAACTCTTGAAAAACAGTTTGGTTGGCTTGATTTTAAACTATTTGAATGAAATTCAAAGGATGAAAAAACTAATGCAACTAAATAACAATTAGCTCATATTCTCCACTCGTATGGTGTCCGGTAATACTATATTGATTAGGAACTTCTTGATTCCAAGCAAAGTCCATACATTGAAATGATATTCTGGTTCAATATTCGTTCCGTGATTCCTTAGCCAACGTAGTTAAATGCCATTTTTTTTACTAAGAAATGCATCTAGCGTGAGGTACCACCTTTTTTCCTTATTTTCCAGGGCCTAATTAAGAGTGAAAGCATCCTGAGGTGTTTTAGATATATATAAATATCCACCCAGTAAAGTTTATGGGTTAAGTGTTTAGACCTCAAAATGTACTATACCAAAGTATTCCTGAAAGACAATAGGGTACTGTTGTATGTTCACTCAACCAAATAAATATCTCCTTGAGACTGACCGAATAACCTGTTTAGAAATAGCCCTTTTAAAATTAAGTATGTAATTTAAAAAGTTAGCTCGTTTTCACAATCCAAGGTCATTGTAGCTAGATTTACTTGTCGCTCGAGGAGACTGCAGTCATATCACATGTTCTATTTCAAATTATAGGAATATAGGTAGAAGTAATAAAGTGTGCATATTCATTTTAGTGAAGAAATGCCTTCACAAAAAGCGCAACCGAAATGAAAACTTCAAAACCAAAATCTTACCCACTTATTTATTTTAAACATAACTAATACAGAAGCCCTGTTAGGATGATGTTTTAAAAGGTCTTTATTTTTTTAAATCCAATGCAGGTGTTGCTCTTGCCATTAACAGAGACGGTTCCAGCGGTGGTTGTGTACGTTTAGCGATTATTTCCAAGGACGGTGTGGAAAGAATACTAACAAAAGGTGATGAAGTTCCAGTGTATCGGTTTTCCTGAAATATAAATATAACCGTATAAATGTGAAAACTACTTTTTTGTATTACTGTCTTAAATATACCGTCTTTTTTCATCTTCCCTCTCATAAGTAGTTATAAGCCTACTATTGCAAAAAAAATATTCTATGAGACTTCGATCACCCAACTGACGCATTTTATCCGTTTTTAATCTCCTAAATTATGATAAATGTCTGATTTATAGAGTTGATATCATGTCGGGATATATCAGTCAAATAATTATTATTCCATATAAATAGTATTCATGATTAGTTGTTTTACTGGTATACCTGAATTGTAGTAAAAAAGAATCCGAACTAAAAAGTAGTCATTTGATACTTCACTGGGAGTAACTAATTATTTCCCATTTGTACATAAATATCTAACAAATTGCGATTTCTTGACTTGACGTAAAGGGAAATCAGTTGGTAGTTACCGTAGCAGGATGTGATTTTTCGTTGTCAACAGTGTTTGTCCGATAAGAAATGGATATAAGGTTAACTAAAACCATTTGCATGTCTTTCGATTTAAAATGGGTTAAATGGGATTTTGTATGATTAAGACCAAAAGCATATCCATTAGTTGTGAAGAAAACAAAAGTTGCAAAAATTTTAATGATGAAACAATCATAAATTTCCTAAATTTAAACTTCAAGTAAAGCTGTCTTGTGGGTTCTGAATCGATTTTGAACATAATGTTAAAACCAATACGAGTACTAGTTGGTACTCAAGAATAGAAATAAGTATATTTCTTAAATTTCTATGCATCAATGCCTCTTGCATTCAAAAGAAACCATAGTTGTCAATAACGAGATTTTTCCTAACATATATCCGATGAGACATTAAACAGTTGATCGACAAGTGCTGAATTTCTACTGTTTTGTCATTCTAAAGGTTCGTTACTTAATACTGTAAGACACTATTTTTCACATTGACTAGTTTTAAAGCTGAATTTAATGCCAGGCGTCAATTTAAGAATTGTGTTTGAGCATACGTCAACTTACTGCGAAATATAAACAGGTTTGGTTGACTTAACATTCCGAAGATGTATTATACCACGAAGTGATATCAGCTTCTGAACTAGGTGACTATGGAGAACTGCTTTCGTATGGCTTGGGATTGTACCTATGGCATCCCACCGTGTCAAATCTTTAGCATTTTCAGCAAACGCAGAACCTTCAAGTTATTGGCCTGTAACTCATTTGTTCAGATTTTCAACTGGTTTGTGTTATCGAGTGGTCTTCAGTCAATTTTATTCATAAGTTGATGTTCTTCTAAATTGATTGGATCAAATAGTTCATTAAGACTTCAGGAAATTCATTCTGAGAGCAAGTCTTTATTATGCAGTTTGATTATAAGGCGATCCAATACTAGTTGTTTTAATAAAGTCTCCTCTTGAACTTTTTAATTACCGAAACCAAGTCGGAGTTCGATTTCAGGTCCAACTGTTTTTGGTCTATAGAGGATGACTGAAATAACGTGCCGAAACCAGAAGTTTTATTTTCAGTCTAGAGATTAGACATTCGTGTGCGAGACCAACGGTCCTGGGTTTGGTCCGCGCGTACAGGGTCTTGGATGCATACTGATCAGGAGTCCCATACCAGGACTACACATCTGTTTCGTGATTCCAGCTTTCCAGTGGTGGTCTAACTTAGATCGGTTCATGATTTCGATAAAATCTAACAATCTCCACAACCTCATACTGGTATTTCATAAAATTACAAAATTCCACCCATAATTATTAAACATATAGTGAGTTTATTGAATTGCTTTATTGGATACTTTCAAATACCAAGGAGTGTAATTAGAAAATTAGGAGTGTTTTTATGTGATTTACAATCCTCATAAATAATCTTTACCGTGAATAAGTTAAATGATCGTCTTGATTAACTGACAAATCTTCATACTATTCTAGATTTTGTCATTTTCAAATGGGACTTACGTGCTTGATATTCCATAAAGCCAATGCAGTCAGTAAAGATTTATGTGAACGGAAACTGCTCATTTTCACTTCATTTAGTAATAAGATCAATAATTCTTTCAGTCAGAGGTATTTGCTATAAAGAAATCGGTAGATGAAGAGCTGAAAAAAGTCGTGAACACAGTGTGTGGGTTGAAAAGATTAAACAGATGGAAGAACACTACTTTATTTGTAGTCAGTCAAATTGAAATCGCGATTAGTCTGGTTTTGAAGCTTCACACAACCCTACATTTTTATTGTACGAGACGGTTTTCAGTAATGTAAATAAATTTAAGTTGATAAGTACTTCTCAAAAGTGACTTCTAACTGTATTCATAAATGTACAAAATTAGGAAACTTGGGTAAATACATAAATGCACATATGTACGTTTTACTGTTTTTGTTCTAAACAGTTTAGACATAAAAGAATCAAATGACATAACTACTTTGATTAAGCATTGTTTGTTGGAAATTCGAATAAATTTTACCCAATTAATGGGTCTATTTATGTCTCCCGTAAGTTGTTCTGCATGTAAATCCAAACACCAACAACACATCAGCACGTCCTAAGGGATACAGTATGCCCACATTTTCGAACTATTTAAAGAAAGACAAATAGGAGGCACCATGTTTGTAATAAGAAATGTAATTAGGTTCCCCACTGTCTTATTCCAAACCCAATTAGTCTCTCAAGATTGTACAACATCCTATGACTGAATCCCGGACGTTCAAACTCGGGAACACATCATAGTAAGTTAATTCACTACTTTTTCACCTAGCAAGTTATGGTTATAAGAGAGCAAATGTCAAGAAAGTTGTCACTCATATAACTCCTACGGATTTTTGTTGCATATATATATATATATAATGACGAGTTTTGTATTTCTGTATTGCTAGTGTTGTAAGCTTTTGTCCGACGCTTCAACTGTTATTCTATGCTGTACTATTTCTTAACCATTGGAAATTAATTATTTACTCTGTTTCATTTTATACCACTTTTGTCTTAATCGTATATAAACTACGTGTGTTATTATCTGATAATTCATGTTTAAAAATTCATGAATTTTTCAGTTATGATGATTTACTGAACCATAGAGAAAATATCTGCTTGCTAACTTCATCTTCTGATTCTAAACTGGGTTGTAAGGACCTAAAGACCAATAGGCTTTAAGATCCCGGTCGTTTTTCGTCGGTCACTGTGTTATTGGTACATCAGAAAGTCATCGATCCTATAAGCGATATAAACGAAATACTCAGTAAGTGAACGCGATAACTATCAGGCTTTGTAATAGGTAATCTGGCCATGTGGGAGCAGAATAAAAAATTTGTCTTTTTAAGATTCGTAGGTTATATTATAAATAGCAAACTTTCAAACTGGAATAAAATACTATCTTTATTTGCTTAATTACAGTAGGAGTCTAGCTGCAATAATTGATGCAGTTTTATTCATATTAGGTTAAGTGGGACAGATATGCTTAGTATGGAACAACACAATATTTTTCGCAATTTTGTCTTAATCGACTCTTACGATCAAACTTAAGGGAATAAATTAGACATTGAAATTGATATCCAAAATAGAAATAATAAGTAGAATAGATTTTAAAAAATACTTTGATCCACTAGAGTTTAGAGATGAGAAATTGAGAATTATGTGCCCGACACCGATATTTCTATATCTTTCAATAAAATTTTTATATCCAGACTTCCTTTACTAAGTTATCTGAAAGTTCCTTATCCTGTGGCGTGCACTACATATGAGGACAGACATAAGTAGTATGTAGCAGAAATTGAAAGTAGAATGCTTACCATCAGAAGGGTGAAATAATGTGAAGAGGAAAGAAAAAAAAGAGCAATCGTAAGAATGGTAAAGTATGTAAAGGACAACCGATGGTTGGTTTACCGTACCAGAGTTTTCGTTCACTACAATTCTGACAAACAAATTAAGCAGTTAGTGGGAGGAATAGATTTGGTTAAAAATTTTTTTGCTAACTGATATACGTTGGGCTGTAAAACGACCACAAAAGTTGGAAGTTTTCCCAACTATCGCCATTATTTCCATCTATTAATACTCTAAAAGTAATGCAAGCGAATCATTCATTTTGTTTGGGTGCCACTTTTCAGACATAAATGTCTTTGAAACACGTTATGTTACTGAATAGTATCTAGTAGTTTAATTCTTCTGTGATCATTTAAAAGTTTACTAAGTCGTAAATAACAGATTTTTATTTGGTTCTGTTTAACATACACTAGGAAACGTTTGTCATGCTAAAATTCGGCAGGATCAATTTCATATTATTATGAAAGTATCCATTAACCTTTTTAAATTACAAAAGATCATATAATTAGACAACAATTTTTCTCTCCTGCGAAATACCACTGTCACATTTCACATTGGTTCAAGTAAAAAGAGTGCTATCAAATTTTTCAAGATCATTTAGAAAATTGGCTAAAATGATGATCAGTTCCTACAGTATTTCCTTCAGGATAGCCAGGAGCAGGAAAAGATAGCAGAATTATCTGGATTAGAAAAGTACATTGCTCAAACATACTTATGAATGATTGTCGGCTGTGCTTAGAATCAGTCATTCACATTTGGATACTTCTACGAATTTTCAGTATCAGGTATAATATGTAGTTACATCACGTTTTTCAAAGCTAAAAGATTAGAACATAAAGGTTGACAGTAGTCTTGGATCCAGGTGTTTTAGGTAATAATATTTTACTCCGTAAACATTATTAATCTAAAACATCATTTTACGAGTTTCCAAATAGTTGCAGTAAATAAAATCTATATTATCTGTGATGTTTTTTCAATGCCAATCTGCATTACCATATAAATATCAACCGATCCCCGGTCAGACCATCATTACTTGAACATTTAATTAACACCCTCAAGGGTTGAATCATCTTTGCTCATTATTTTGAAGCTAATTTTCATCGCAAACTAACACCATTTAGGGTATCCCTGACAACCAAGAAGCACTAATTTGAGAATACTAAATTGATTCTTGCCTGATCTTAAACAGCATCGATTCTAGTACATTCAAGTCTCTACGTATTTACTACCTACAGTGATGTGTTTAAACCATAGTTCGTCTCTCTTTCATAACATTACCTACTCGGCAACTGGTTGTCGGTTAGTTAATAATATTTTGTTAGTATTATTTACTACTAAGTAGCGATTAGCTTAAGTCGATCCAGTTTGTAATACAGCCAGTAGGCTAAATGATGTCAAAAAAGAGTAAACCTGGTGGGATACGTTGGTAGTAACAGCTTAGGTTTCAAGGATAGCGAAAATTCGTTAATAGTCTTCCAGTAAAATGCAAGCAGCTTTAAAGAATTAGTTTCACTAGTTGACCATGTGATAGTGACAAATATCGTGTCTACTTACTGGTACTGACAGATATCTGATTAACGGGATATATGACGTTGTATGTCATTTCAAATATACTCTGTTGATGTATACAAACAAACACGACCTAGG